GGTCCTTTACTTTACTTTACTTACCACAAAACACTAGCATTTTTTTTGGTTCACCCTTGACCCTGTCCGTTCACACGTCACACCACTCTGTCATCTCATGCAAACCACTTTGCAAGTCTCTGGTCATGTCGTGCCTGTCTGACCCGCTTGGATATACTAGAACATCATCAACAAATGTCAAAGTTCACCCTGGTCTAGTAGGCTGTATCGTTACCATACATGCTGTAAACATCTTGAACACGACAGGTGATATTTGTGATACCTGATGAAGGCATGGAGAATGCGTACTGGATCCGATCTCCATGTCCCCCCCCCCCCCCCAACAAAAATACCACTGATTTGTTCCAACAATGCTGCCTCCATCTAATAAGCCAACCAAGGGTTCACGCCACAATTCCTTACGCACTCCATACGATATGTGAAGTCAACCCCGTTAAAGGCATCTTCAAGATATTTAGGGGTAATATGGCCTATAATTCGTAGTGCAGGGTGAGGGCGTTTGACAGCAGTATTGCCAGAAGATCCATAAAATCAGCGCAGAGCCGTTTGACATGAGTGTTGCGTGAGGATCTAAAAAATCAGCGCAGAGCCGTTTGACAGGAGTGTTGCTTGAGGATCTATAAAATCAGCGCAGAGCCGTTTGACAGGAGTGTTGCGTGAGGATCTATAAAATCAGCGCAGAGCCGTTTGACAGGAGTGTTGCGTGAGGATCTATAAAATCAGCGCAGAGCCGTTTGACAGGAGTGTTGCGTGAGGATCTATAAAATCAGCGCAGAGCCGTTTGACAGGAGTGTTGCGTGAGGATCTATAAAATCAGTGCAGAGCCAGTTGGTGCCTGAGGTGAGTAAGGGAGTATCTAATTATACACAGCACAACGGCCTTAACTTCTAAGTCATACCTGTGGCTGAAATAACCATGCTACCCAAATGAAAGGAAATAACAATATGAGCTAGGTGAAGCAGTGGCGAGTTTCAGACAGGACAGATGAACTAAAAATCACACTTTTAATTGATGTCTTCTTCCTTTGTCGTCTCCCTGACACCATTCTTCCTTTGTCGTCTCCCTGACACCATTCTTCCTTTGTCGTCTCCCTGACACCATTCTTCCTTTGTCGTCTCCCTGACACCATTCTTCCCTTGTCGTCTCCCTGACACCATTCTTCCTTTGTCGTCTCACTGACACCATTCTTCCTTTGTCGTCTCACTGACACCATTCTTCCTTTGTCGTCTCCCTGACACCATTCTTCCTTTGTCGTCTCACTGACACCATTCTTCCTTTGTCGTCTCACTGACACCATTCTTCCTTTGTCGTCTCACTGACACCATTCTTCCTTTGTCGTCTCCCTGACACCATTCTTCCTTTGTCGTCTCCCTGACACCATTCTTCCTTTGTCGTCTCCCTGACACCATTCTTCCTTTGTCGTCTCCCTGACACCATTCTTCCTTTGTCGTCTCCCTGACACCATTCTTCCTTTGTCGTATCACTGACACCATTCTTCCTTTGTCGTCTCCCTGACACCATTCTTCCTTTGTCGTATCACTGACACCATTCTTCCTTTGTCGTCTCCCTGACACCATTCTTCCTTTGTCGTCTCCCTGACACCATTCTTCCTTTGTCGTATCACTGACACCATTCTTCCTTTGTCGTATCACTGACACCATTCTTCCTTTGTCGTCTCCCTGACACCATTCTTCCTTTGTCGTATCACTGACACCATTCTTCCTTTGTCGTCTCCCTGACACCATTCTTCCTTTGTCGTCTCCCTGACACCATTCTTCCTTTGTCGTATCACTGACACCATTCTTCCTTTGTCGTATCACTGACACCATTCTTCCTTTGTCGTCTCACTGACACCATTCTTCCTTTGTCGTCTCACTGACACCATTCTTCCTTTGTCGTCTCACTGACACCAGCTTTAGCCCAGGATCGTCTTTCTCTGTATTTGTCTTAAGCTTCTAGGATGGCTTGGGTTGGGGGAGGGGGGGGGGGGGAACTGTGCCTCGCCCAGCGTTGAGTACGTTGGGTCTGTTAAAACTGTGATTTCCTTTTGGCTTTTAGTCTCGCTGGATCCACTCTGTCTGCCAGTGTGGCGCCACCTTGTGGCACCGTGGGAACGTGTGCATGCCGTTTTCCCCCTCTGGGCTGCTACCACAATGTTTAAGACACTGAGATTACACAATGTTGGGTTCGTATGGCAGACCGACTAGGCAATCCTAGATACCGCATTCAACCCCAAATGGAGAGCAACAAGCTGGTTTCCAAGCTGAAGGAAGCAGTGTTGAACAGATGTTTTGTCTAAGCATATTATCTCAGCAATACCACCAGCACCAAAAACATCTATACCTTGTGTTCATTGATTTCAAAAAGGCCTTTGATAGAGTGTAGCATGCAGCACTCTGGGACACTATGAAAAAGTATAATATTGGTAAAACAGTCTTAAGTAGTATAGAGCAGCTTTATGCCAAGGCCAGCAGAGCTGTCACGCTGAACTCAAAAATAGGGAGCTGGTTCCGAACAACAGTAAGAGTCCGGCGGTGTTGCCTCCTCTCTCCAATACTATTTAACATCGTTGTATGAAGATTTATGACTAGGGCTGCACCGAATATTCGCTTCGGGGCCGAATAGTGGACCTATTGACTATTCGGTATTCGGTACTGAATAGTTGCGGCCGGGCCGAATACGAATAGTAGTTACGTTACACCCGCTTCTGCTTACACGGCCCTAATGCTGACAACATGGAACGATCGCTTTTGTTGAAAGCTAATGCAGCTTTCCTGCATTAACTAAGCTGTCAGTGACAATTTCCAAGTTTAGTCACTTGTTATAATACTTAGGAATATTTCATTCCTAGTTATTAGTTACCACAGACTGACTAAAGGATGAAAAACATAAAATGCTATTAAATGTTTACTATTCTGTACGAATACTAACTAGAACATGGACAGAATATAAACTCCGGCCACATCCAAGTCGATAATATGAAAATCAAACGAACGGAAACATATAAGTACTTGGGTGCAAACTTCAACTGCTCCAACATGCTGAGAGAAGAAATACAATCTAGAATACAATCTAGAAATAAAGTATACTATGCCTTTCAACATTTGTTAAGGTTAAAGTGTCGCACGAAGATAAAAAAATATAAAACGTCGATAAGACCAGTCGTGTTATATGGCTCTGAAACTTGAAGCAGAAATAAAAGAAATGAGGCCTTATTACAGGTTTTCGAAAACAGTCTTACTACAAATCTTTTGACCCATCAGAGATGCTAACAGCGGGGAATAGAGAGCGAAAAGCAACAACGTAACATATAATCTGTTCAAATCCCCATTGATCACTGGCATCATGAGAGCTAACAGACTAAAATGGTTGGGGCATATTGAAAGAATGGCAGATGGCAGAGAAGTAAAAACTGTATACACCTGAGATATGAATGGGCGTAGACCACGAGGCAGACAAAAAAGAAGTTCGACTTTGTCGATGTCCAGTCAGACCTGAAAACAACCGGTGTCACAAATTAGGCAGAGAAGGCCAGCCAGAGAGATGAATGGAGACAAGTGATATCTGCAGTAGAAATCTCAAGGGCTCAGAATGCTAAAGAAGAAGATTACTATTCTGTGCTACTTTATGTGAAGTCAAAGTTCAGCGTACATTTGACATTATAAATGTGATATTTTTTTTTTTTAGATATATTTTATACATTATACACTATTCGTATTCGTATTCAGTCGAATAGTTAGTCCCGCTATTCGTATTCGGCCGAATAGTGAAAATCACTATTCGGTACAGCCCTATTTATGACTGATGCATTAGAACAACATCGTGAAGCAGTTAGTATAGGAGGTTGAACTATAACAAACTTAAGGTTTGCAGATGACGTCGATGGGTTGCCCGGAGAAGAACAAGAGCTAGCCGAGCTTGTAAATTTACTAGATGAAACACCAACAAAGTATGGCATGAAAATGAACGCAGAAAAAAAAGTAATGATTAATAATTCAGCTGGCAGAATTTCACCAACCTACGTTAGAACAAGTGACTCATTTCAAATATTTAGGAATTATTTTAAGTGACTTGGGGGTCAAGACCAGAAATCATGTCTAGGATTGCCCAGACAACATCAGTCCTTGCCAGGCAGCAAACATTATGGAGATCTAAACGGATTTCATGCAAAACTAAGATTTGATTGCTCAGAGCACTAGCTATTAGTACTTTTATAAATGGTTGTGAAACGTGGAACTTAACAACTGAACTTGAAAGAAAGATAAGAGCATTAGAAATACGATGTTTAAAAAAGGATTCTTGGCATATCATACAGAGACCACATTACAAACGAAGAGGTTCGCCATAAAATTATACAGTACACTGGCAAATATGAACCTCTTTTAACTACAGTGAAAAGGCGAAAAATGCAATGGTATGGACATGTAAAAAGATCTAACGGCCTCTCAAAAATAATTCTGCAGTGCCAGACGCTCGCCTCGGATCGGAAGGTTGTGGGTTTGCTCCCTGGCGGAGCCAGCCTTTTTTTTCAAAAATGACCTTGGCTCCCAGGTCGACCCAGCCTTGAGTGAGTAACGGGTGCAGGCCCGGGAAGTAAAGGCGGCCGGCATGGCGCTGACCACATCACCCATCTTGTGCCGATTGGTCTATAAACATATAGGTCTAGCCCTATATGCCTAAAGGCGTGGAAGAGGGTCCTTTACTTTTTACTTTTACAGAAGAGGGAAAGAGGAGAAGAGGCTGACCAAGAAAGACCTGTTTACAGAACCTAACTGACCGGACAGACCTTAGGGATGCAACCATGGAGAGAGCAGATCAGGGAGGGAGCGACATAAAACCAATATTTTATTTAAACACACGGTGACGGAAAGATAGACATGGATGGAATCGAACAACTGTTGCTGGGGCAGTTTTGTTGATAGCTTGTGTTTGTTTTATTGATTCTAGGTTTTGTTTATCGTTTTTGAAAAAGCAGCTTCTGACGACGACGGCGGCGCCTCATGGCGACACACACTCGCAACTCTGAGCCTGAAGGCAGACATCGAGCCAACAGAAAGGATGATTATATCAGCTACTCGCCGCCAAAGTTTCGAGATGAGCTCATGCGATATAAACACATCGCCTTTTTCAAACGGGTTCTTCAGGTCCTGCCATCGCAGCAGCTTGATACGCACAGGTACGCTCCCTAACCCCAGTAATACTTTAATTAGTTTATTAATACTAATACTTGGTTAGCATTGGCATCTTTCCGGGTGATAGCGTAATACTGTGCTATGGGACACATGGGAATCACACGCCATTGGCGAGTGTGACTAGTAATTTACTGTAATACCCGCTCACGTTACCACCTTTCAGTCAGTAAAGTAACAAAGTGTGGCTAATCAGCCAACTAGTGCAGTAAAATACTCAGTAACTGTATGCACATTGACCCTTTGGGCCATGATTTTGAAATTGATTTCATGTTCATAGTATAGTAGTACACTAATCAATGTTGCCGTCGCATGAAATGATGTATTTAACATGTCTCTTCTGAGACAGGTGCTGCGTGGTCTCGAGGCGTGGTGTCCGCCTAGAGTGCTAGGTTCCGGGTTCAATCCCAGACTTGGATTTCTAGTAATTTCCCTGGTCTCTGGGTAGTGAGATCGGACACTGGTGTGCTTATTGCGTACTTGAAAAAATCCTTTGCCAGTTGGAAATCGAAAAGAGTACCCTAACAGCGTTGCCCGGGCAAAATTTGGAGTTTAAAATACCCAAAGTTCAGAGTTCTCGCTGGTGCTACAGAGCCTGCGCTGCACTGTGCTGAGCTTCTTTTTTTACTCAGATTTAAGTTAGAAGAGGAACGGAGCACTTTTGGGTGCCATGATGTTGATCCATTGTTCAAAACCTCAAACCTTCTGAGACACTTTGCTATCAAAACATTAACATGATTTCTGTCATTATTATGTGCCTTACCATTTGGAGTAGGCACTGATGCTTCTCCACAGATCAAGATCCCTGGTTGCCTGGATCTTGATGATTTCCCTCCATGCGATCATTTCAGCCTTTTGGTCATCTTCTCCTTTATTTTATTCTTTATCTGTATTCTCTTTCCAAGTGTCACTCTCCACACCTCATCTCTCCATGCCACATCTCTCCATGCCACATCTCTCCATGCCACATCTCTCCATGCCACATCTCTCCATGTCACATCTCTCCATGCCACATCTCTCCATGCCACATCTCTCCATGCCACATCTCTCCATGCCACATCTCTCCATGCCACACCTCTCCATGCCACATCTCTCCATGCCACATCTCTCCATGCCACATCTCTCCACGCCACACCTCTCCATGCCACATCTCTCCATGCCACATCTCTCCATGCCACATCTCTCCACGCCACACCTCTCCATGCCACATCTCTCCATGCCACACCTCTCCATGCCACATCTCTCCATGCCACATCTCTCCACGCCACACCTCTCCACGCCACATCTCTCCATGCCACATCTTGCCACGCCACATCTCTCTACGCCACATCTCTCCATGCCACATCTTGCCACGCCACATCTCTCCATGCCACATCTCTCCGTGCCACATCTCTCCGTGCCACATCTCTCCATGCCACATCTCTCCATGCCAAATCTTTACATGCCACATCTCTCCACACCATATCTCTCCATGCCAAATCTCTCCACGCCACATCTCTCGACACCAAATCTCTCCATGCCACATCTCTCCACGCCACATCTCTTCACGCCACATCTCTCCACGCCACATCTCTCCACGCCACATAGTCCATCCATGGCAAGAAATTTATTAAGTGAACTGTGACAAAAATCTTATTGAAAAAGGGTGAAGGGGAACAACCTACAGCAGAGCTGTTCAACTAAATTTGCTTAGGAGCCAATGTTTTGAAGATGTGGATCATCATGGGCCAGAGGTCCAAACCCCATTTTAGACAGAACATGAATATAAAACAACTGGCAATGATTTGTGGGCCACTTGCTGGGTCTCCATGGGTCAGATTTGGCCGCTGGGTCTCCACTAGTCACTTGCTGGGCCTCTATGGCCAGATTTGGTTGTTGTTGTTGTTGTTATCGATCCAGCGGCGCATAAGCTTTCTCCCTTTGGCCCAATGCCATGTAGTGGAATTTGCATGTTTTCACAAGCTGTTCTTTTCCTCTGTACAAGGTGTTCCACTTGTCTGGTCTCGGAGGGAGTAGCGTTCTTCTTGTCTCACTGAGTTTTGGGCACTCAAAGAGATGGTGTTCAACAGTTTCGTAGGGGTAGTTACATAGCTGGCACTCTGGGGAGTGTTGTGGCTGTATTCTGTTTAGGTGTCCATTGAGTGGAGTATGTTGCGTTCTAAGTCTGAAGATGGTGGCCTGGTCCCTTCTTGTTAGATGGTTAATGCTGTCATTAGGATCAGGGCCAGACATATGTCTATAAACCTCTCTTCCAGTGTCTCCCATGGCCCATCTGTTCAACCAAGTCTCTTTGTTTATAGCTCTTATCAGTGTTTTTGCTGTCTGGAGGGTTGTCGCTGTAGGTGGTTGTTCTTGTGTTGCTCCTTTCTTTGCCAATCTGTCAGCTCTGTCATTACCTGGTGTGCCGGAGTGACCTGGGATCCACTGCATCACTATTCTGATGTTGTATGAGGTAATAAGCTGATCAGCATCCAGGATTATCTTGGCTATGTCAGTTCTGCAGCGTTCACTGCCCTCTAGAGCTTGAAGGGCAGACATTGAATCTGTGAAGATGACAATATTTTGGACCTTTGAAGGGTAAACATCCATTACAGTCTTTAGGTGGTATACTGCTGTTTCCAGTGCAATTTCAGCTTCATAGTTTGAACAGAATTCCCCGCATGCATCAAAAATCCATCGGGATAACCTATGTAGATTCCGTAACCTGCTTTAATGGTAGCATTAAATGCTGATCCATCAGTATAGACATGTATCCATTCTTGGGGGTAAGAATCAACGGTCTTTAGTGATGAGTTCATAAGAGCGATTGGGTCGGACTGTTTGGTTTCCTCGCCTACCAATTTAGTTCGGACTTCTGGAGCTTTAAAGCGAGCATGTGGTGGTAGGTTTCTTGCAACATTCTGAATTCCTTGACGTGTTTCTGGGAGGTGGTATCTGTCCTGAATTTCATTAACACAGTGTAAAACCGATTTGTGCTTTATTCTTTGTTTGTATTCCCAGTTTTCTACGAGATGTCTATTAGGATGGTTACGATTTTTCCTAACGCATCTTTCATAAATTTCTAAAGTGGCTTTTTCTCTCCGCAGCCCGAGGGGTTCCACATTTGTATGGATTTCACATGCAGCAGTTGGTGTAGACTGCATAGCTCCGCAGATTAATCGGAGGGCATTACTTTGTACTCTGTCAAGAGTCTCTAGGTTAGTTTTGGAGCAAGTTGTAAGCAGTGAGTTGTTGTACTCTATCACAGAGCGAACATATCGTAGATATAAGCCCCTCAGAGTTTCCTTGTCTGATCCCCATGATGTGCCTGCAAGTCTCTTTAATAACTGTAACCGCCTCAATGCCTTATTCCTGATGTTTTCAATATGGTTCTTGAGGCTGAGCTGCCGGTCAAGTATGACTCCAAGGTATGTGGGATGCTCTTCTTTCATCACTTGGTGTTTGTCTAACCTCGGGTTAATATTCTTCCTTGCTACTTGGTGGCTTTTGGTAAAGATTGTGTAGACCGTTTTTGCACAGTTAACTTTGAATTTCCATCTTTGGCAGTACTCATGCAGTCTTCTAAGGTCTCCATTCAGTCTTTAGGCTGCACTTTCCACATTTTCATGACTCTGCCATATTGCTAGGTCATCAGCGTACAAGGCTTTTTCGGCCTTGATTTGTTCTGGCAGGTCATTGATAAAGATTAGGAATAGTGTACAGCTCAATGATGAGCCTTGTGGCAAGCCCTCCTCCAAGACTTCTTTAGAAGAGATTACGTTGTGCATCTTAGTCTGGATTGTTCTATCTATCAGGAAGTATTTCACCCAGTTATACAATCTGCCATGTATTCCTATGCTCATCATCTTCATCAGGAGACCTTTTCTCCATACTCTGTCATAGGCCTGCTGGAGGTCGACAAAGACTGCCACTGTGTGTTTCTTATTCTGGAAGCCATCATGTATTCTTTGTGTCAGATTTGGTCACTGGGTCTTCACAGGTCAGATTTGGCCACTGGGCCACGAGTTGATTAGCCCTGATATACAGTACACACAACTGACAAATTGACATTGGGCCGGAGCCTTTTTTGACATGAACTACACAACGGAAACAACGGGCAAAGTACTCCAACCACCACTAGGGGGTCATACGATGACTAGGTCAAGTTATGAGTTCTGATGTTAGATTATCTTCACAGCAATCCGGACACATCCATAGGCGCTCATCCCCTCTCAACACATTCATCAGTGTCGTGCGGTTATTAGTACCAGTCCTGTGTTGGTTAACAAGAGTTCCTGTGCGTCCAGTGTTCTTCTCATGCTTGGCTGTGCCGATCTTTACTCCCAGTTCACGTATTCTTAGAAGTGATGTTGACATGTTGCTTCCAGAATACTCAGAATGTCCTATCTCTCTAAGGCCAATGACAATGTCTGCGTGATCCATGGGCCGGCCATCTTCAATTAATGCAGCACCTGCCAGTCTTTCAGCTCTCTCATTACCAACAACGCCTGCATGCCCTGGGATGAATATGAAAGTAACTGCACACACAGGAGAATTTTGCAATGACTCAAGCCACTGTCTGTGTAACCAGCCTGCCTCAACCTGCCGGATCATGCTCAAAGAATCACTCAGCACACACACACGGGAATAGTCCTGTGATTTTAGCCACATGAAAGCTTGTGTCACCGCCATCACCTCCATCGTCATGCTGCTGCTGGTCATGGAGAAGGCTTTAGGTCAAGTACTGTGCAGATTGTGCTTCTATGCCAGAAAGCACCCCTTACGTGGTCAGCAGTACACAAGCCACCTATACTTCCCAGGACATAACCTGGGGTCATATCTGCCAATGTAAAATAAAATAAAAATCTGCCTTAATGTGGATTTAAACCTTATTCCTTTAGGCCTGTAGGGAGGCATCTAAGTACTATGCTAACATCACCCTGTCACAAAAATAGAAGGCAGTTTGAACTTTTGCCTTGAAACCAGTATACTTTTGTTCCTTTAACTGCTACTTGTGTGTCCAGTAAAATTGCTTTATGTCATTACTAATTCAGTATGTACATTTCTGATTTATTAGAGTTTCTGTTGCATTTTTTGCTGTATCTGGGCTGGATATACTTGAATCATTGCAAGAAATTGAAGTCAACAAAAACAACATAATCAACTGGATTTACAGTCTACAAGTGCAGCCACAGGACAACGGTGAGCGATATATGTCAGGACTATGTCTGTTCTTCCACTTCCTCTTCATAATTTTCTTCTTCTTCTTCTTCTTCTCCTTCTTCCTATTTCATATCCTCTAGACATTGGACTGAAAGATGTTAACAATAAAATATCTTCTTCTGTGTTAATCTTTCACCCTGTTCCCCCCCCCCCCCCCCCCCAACCCTGAAAAGCCGCAAATCTGACTCATTTGATTGGGTCCTATTCTGCATAGATGTGAATTTTCCGACTTGTCTAAAGTATCCTGTTTACAATGTGCATAGTTAATTCAACTGGCTGATTTTGCACCCTGCGTAATTATTCAGGAGGTCAGTGTCGTATGGCAGTTTTGTCGCGCACCTTTACTTACGGAATATTTTCACAAATCGCTCAGGTGCTCCTAGACAGGAGTGTTTTGAATGGTGGCTCTCGTTCGTCTAGAGGCCTAACCCTCGGTTCAAACTTTCCATTCAGCCTGTCTCAGGGATGAGGTGACTCGAGCTCTGACTCCACAGGGTTATTATGAACACTTGGGTACCTCTCGGCCAGACGTCCTCATCACTATTTTGCCCCCAGACTGGTAACAATGTAAACACAGTCAAACAAGTAAACAACAGTAAATATGACAAGACAGGACTACCTTTCTGAATACGACAATTAATTCCAATAAGACGAAACTGTTCTAAGAACAAGAAGACTGATGAACTAAAACTTCAATGTAATAAATTCACTATAACAAGGCAGACGAAAGGTAGCATGAAAAATCAAAATGAATGTTCAAATATTTGAAGATCTGACACTAGAGAAAGAGTCTTTCTACATAGACCCATCCATTTCCAGAATCATCACGGCGGAGGTATAGGACAGATTATAAAGGCCCATTTGGAATCAAGCTGCCTCTGAATGTCACTCTGACTTATCTGATTAGATCTCGCAGCTCCTCAGGATGCCGGAAGGGAGTTCCACGCCGCCTCACTTCACAGAACTTCTTCACAAGAAAGATGCAGCTTTTGGAATTGATCAAGGACAATCAACTCCCTAGAGTTCGGCAGAAGTCGACTCTAGTACCGTCTACACAATCAGCAATAGCAATTCACCACACATCAGTTGCTTCTAGGGTGTTGGTAGGTGGAAGCACTCAGTTAGCCCACGGACGCTTGTTGGATCTTCAGAAATCCTGAAAAACACAAGGCAACACCCATTAGCGAACCGTACCCAACGCACCTAGTTAATCAATATCCTCACTACCTCCACATGCTCAGATATAGTTGAGGCTAGTCCAAACCATGAAGGTTGGCTACCTCTAACTTGGAATCCGTTCAGTTTCCCAGAGTGAGTCGTACGTATGTTTCCATTAACTCGAATAGTTTCTGAATTCAGTCCTGTAGTGAAAGCCAGACAGATCTCCATTATTTCCCATCCCTTTTAATATACCTTTTTCACTAATTGGAAAGATAAGGTATAGGAGATGAATGTCAAAACTAAGATTGAAGGAAATATGCTCCGAAGGCAGTACGACAGTCTAAGCTTGTTGTGGTTACGACAACTCCTAGCAACCGCGGATATGACGTCATGCCTGACCCAAAGCTCCTTGTCATTCACAATGGTTCAGCGACTCACCAAGTTCAGAGACCGAATAACAGCAAACAACTAATCATACAAAGTTAACAATACCATAAATACACTCCAGATATGTGGATTGATTGATCCGAAGAGGTTTAGAAAGCCGGCTTGAAGAATTCTCCGAGAAATTTCAGCCGAAAGTGCATTCCAATCTAGAGCTCTATTCGCCGTCCTCCATTTCAAGGATCGTAGACAAACAGATTCGCATTATCAATCTGCTGACCTTACTTACCCACACCACAGACACTCTGAGCACAAATATTCAATTAAAAACCCTTATGAAAACTCACCCATGATAAATGGAAAGAGAATAAAGAATCTTGTCTTTTTAACGGTAAAGTGGCAACACAACAGGAAAGCATCTGCCTCATAGACCGGACCATAGAGAAGTGACGCATAAAAATACAGTCCCCAACTACAGCAGTTGGTGTAAGAATCCTGCTCACGTATGCAGTGAAGTGGTCAGACAATTTATTTTAAATAGGCGTAGAAAATGTGTCCTAACGTGTAAATCGACACTAAAAGCCTAAAAGAATCAATATCAGAGTGAATTATAGGGATTTTTCTTATCTGGACTCCCCCACAACAAACGAACTATATAACTATGGTCGGCCTATCCTATATCAAAGTTACAATGACGATTTTGGGGATGTTCAGACTGTGGACCTGCCTAATGCGGTAGGTGTGTGGATTCTGTCATGTGACAGTCAGGATATGAAAATATTGCTAAAAATAGCATTTAAAACTGTTTTCATGTAAACCAATTAGCTCTCTTTAAACCCGTTGCCATAAAATTGTTCCTTAAGCCTCATTGACAGAGATTATAGGGTTGGGAAAATGACTTGCCTACTTATAAATATAATTTTGTTACGCTACCTGGAATGTGTTCCGTTTAATGCTGCACTCTGTTCATGTTTATATATCCCTAGATTTAAAAAAAAAAAATTTTAATTTGCAGTAGTTACATAAAGTTACAAAAATTTCTTACTTGCATATGTAGAATAGTTTTTTTAATAAGAATTGTTTCCTAGAATTCTTATGGGTCATGGCTCTTTTTTTTTTTAAACGACAGGGTTAAAAAAGTGGTTGGCATGTTGTGTTGCAATTTTCAGCTGTTGTGCAATATCTGCACCTTTTGACTCTAACATGTCCATTCTCAGCAGATTCTTATGAGTCACATTTGATGGCCCGCTTGTTTACTCTTTTGCTTCGGAAACTTTTTGGGGGAAAACCATGGACATATTCCCCCCCTCCCCTAACCACAAAAATCTTTTTTTTTTTAAATTAAAAATAATCATTTTATGCAAGTCACTATGAAGTTGTAAAAAACTTATTTATGCACATTAAAAAAAAACCTTGAAATTTGTAAAGGGGAGTATTCAGTAAATAGAACAGAGTGGAGAATGCAGTAGATTAACTTTCTTTGGGCCTAAAATATTTATATGATGACTCATACCATGTTGTTTTCAAGCCCCCTCTGGGCCCTAAATATAACCTACGGGTTGAACAGGGTTTCTGGGACTTAGCCCAGGTGATTCTCATCTAAATGGTGTCACCAGGTGTTTATCACACGTCGTGTGGTCCTGGTGAGGTTGAACTTCAGTCATTCAATCAATGCTGTTAACTACGCTTGTCGGGAACAAGCCACTGCAGAAGTGCCAGTTTATCAGCTATTATAGAGAATTGTAATTGACAATGATGTCAGATCACTGGTATCTTGAGATGAAAGGGTTATGGATCTGTAGACTTATTATGTTTTGCTCAGAAAGGAAGCCTCAGGAACTTACACAGGGAAATAACATTTGTTAAGCCTGGAGAAGAACAATTACCAACTTGAACTTATCTTAGCCATTGTGTGTGTCCTGTGATGAATTTTTACAGAGTTACATTATATTTTGTTTCCCAGTGGGTCTTAAGATCTGATACTAGTCATGCACACCCTCTACTTTTCAAACTTATGGGGGAAAACTGGAGACCTGTAGCACGGCTCCCATGGAGATAGTACTTTATTTGGATCAGGAGAACAGTCTGCACCAACCTAATTCCAAGAGAGCTTTGCAACTTGAATATTTGAGCATCATATTTAAGAGTTAAAATGCAGCCAATCTTTTACTGATCACAATAAGTAACAGAAAGATACTTATCTCTTATAATAGCTCAAGAGTTAAAGATTAATTTACTGAAAAGAGATTTTTGTATAATTGTATATAAACACTGGACAGCAGGTGTTGACTGATGTAAGAATTGACTGCAAAGAATACTGGACAAACCAAGAGATGCTCCACCTCTGGCAGCAAATGTTATAGGGTGCAGATGCTGATTGTTTCAGTAGCACACTCATTGTAAACATTTGGTATTTCCCCTAGCATGTATCTTGTCTTGTTGGCTAGACCGATACTAAATTCCAGATCTCTGAGCCTCGACATTACTAATGATATTGTCCAGAAACTCCCATTATGGATCTGGGAAAAAAATAATAGACCCTCTGTCGACTAATTAGGATGTTTCATTTGAAGTCAGAGTGCATCTCCCCAAGAGGCAAGGAACCAACAGTCTGCATGCAAAGAAGCCAGATTTGTAAAATGAATGTACACACAAATTCCAAGTCCTGGAACAAGACTAAAATCCATAAGTTGACAACCATAACTTTTGGCCAGAGTTTACAGCTGGTGAACACCAGGAAGAAGAAGAAGTAAAATAATGGGTGGTAGTGGGCCTTTTTTTTTTTTAATTACAGACCATAGCCATTCAGGCGTTTTGCTTCTTATTATTGTGTATTTTAAAAATGATCTAATATTGCTGCATGTTTTGTTTCAGGAGACAACTATTGTCAGTGTGGCTTCCGTGGGTGTCCCGTGTTGGGCCACTCTCATGACATCAACAAGGTCAGTAGTTTCATTTAACAGCCAAGGTCAGATTCAGGAAAACCATTGCCATATTATATCATTGGGCACTTCTAATTCCTTAACTAGGCCCCATGTTAACTTATACAGATTAGATCAGGTGGCACTTCTACATCCTCAACCAGGCCCCATGTTAACTTATATAGATTAGATCAGGGGGCATTTCTACATCCTCAACCAGGCCCCATGTTAACTTATACAGATTAGATCAGGGGGCACTTCTACATCCTCAACCAGGCCCCGTGTTAACTTATATAGATTAGATCAAGGGGCACTTCTACATCCTCAACCAGGCCCCATGTTAACTTATATAGATTAGATCAGGGGGCACTTCTACATCCTCAACCAGGCCCCATGTTAACTTATATAGATTAGATCAGGGGGCATTTCTACATCCTCAACCAGGCCCCATGTTAATTTATATAGATTAGATCAGGGGGCATTTCTACATCCTCAACCAGGCCCTGTGTTAACTTATATAGATTAGATCAGGGGGCACTTCTACATCCTCAACCAGGCCCCATGTTAACTTATATAGATTAGATCAGGGGGCATTTCTACACCCTCAACCAGGCCCCATGTTAACTTATATAGATTAGATCAGGGGGCACTTCTACATCCTCAACCAGGCCCCATGTTAACTTATATAGATTAGATCAGGGGGCACTTCTACGTCCTCAACCAGGCCCCATGTTAACTTATATAGATTAGATCAGGGGGCATTTCTACATCCTCAACCAGGCCCCGTGTTAACTTATATAGATTAGATCAGGGGGCACTTCTACATCCTCAACCAGGCCCCATGTTAACTTATATAGATTAGATCAGGGGGCATTTCTACATCCTTAACCAGGCCCCATGTTAACTTATATAGATTATATCAGCTTGATCAGTGGACACCATATTTTTCTTTTATAAGACAATATTTTTCCAAAATTTATTAAGTTTAAAATGGGGGGGGGGGGGGGGTGGCGCTTGCATTTTAGACAAAATGTGATTAAAATATTTATTTCTTAATCTTGGGCAAAACAGTAGGCGTCCACTTATACATGGACAGATATGTTTGTTGGTAGTGTTGCATATCTGTTGTCATACTTTTATGTGCAGCTGTGTAATCTTAGTGGTTAGTGGATACATGAACCATTCTCACAGCCGTTGTCATACTTACATGTGCAGCTGTGTCACCTGAGAGGTTTGTGGATACATGAACCGTTCTCACAGCCGTTGTCATACTTACATGTGCAGCTGTGTCACCTGAGAGGTTTGTGGATACATGAACCGTTCTCACGGCCGTTGTCATACTTACATGTGCAGCTGTGTCACCTGAGAGGTTTGTGGATACATGAACCGTTCTCACGGCCGTTGTCATACTTACATGTGCAGCTGTGTCACCTGAGAGGTTTGTGGATACATGAACCATTCTGACGGCCGTTGTCATACTTACATGTGCAGCTGTGTCACCTGAGAGGTTTGTGGATACATGAACCGTTCTCACAGCCGTATGATACGGCAAACTGGGTGCCTTCTTCACAATGAGGGATAACCATGGACAGTTTGATGGAACAGCATTGAGTTGTACTGTATGATCAGTGCCAGGTCTCTTTAGGGGGGCTTCTAGAGGTAATATTGCTAGCAATATGATGAGTCACCACCAAACCTAAGCTGGTCTGGAACATTGGAGTCCATATATAAGAACAATGCATGGAAGGTTCTGCAGGGTCAAGGGGGTTGCCTTCTCACAGATCTGTTGCTAAATCATGATTAAATAAAGACCTTAATGTTGGGAAACTCTGTCATGCAAGTAGAATCAGATTGTTTTTTGGTCATCAGTGTCACATGGTGTTACCATAAATTGACCAGTAAAAGGCCCATGTTTAACTCCACAGTAATGTTATTCTGTGTTGTCTATTCACACATAGACTGTAAATCTATGCCAATGCAATTTTTTAAATTCCTTTCACATTCACAAACTAAAGATACTTCACAGTAATTCTGTATCATCCATTCACATTCACAAACTGAAGGTCTTCCAAAGTGTAATTCTATCTTATCCATTTACAAACTGAAGGTCTTTCACAGTTTTATTCTCTGTTATCCATTTACAAACTGAACGTCTTTCACAGTGTAATTCTATGTTGTCCATTCACATTTACAAACTGAACGTCTTTCACAGTGTAATTCTATGTTGTCCATTCACATTTACAAACTGAAGGTCTTTCACAGTGTAATTACATGTTGTCTTTTCACACAACATATTCTGTTTGTGATGAGGGGTAGGCAACTTTTTATTTTAATGGGGGTCAAATTTAGAATTACCAAACTGGTTGCAGGCCAAATATAAGAACATAACACTCAGATTTCCTCGTAACACAATATTTTGTGAGATAAACCCTCACTACGCCCCTGGCCAGACAGGCTCACCCAATGAAGCTCTTTTGAATATTCCTAATTGTGTCTGTTCAAGCTGGTTATTAGCAGAAATCATATTATTGAACATTGTTGATTATATAGTAATTTTACACCAGCCTCGCGGGCCAGTTCAAACTTTGAGTGGGTCAGTTTTGGACTACAGGTCCACATTATTGTGCCCACACCTGATCTCTGACCTTAGCCCCAATGTATGTATGTATAAAATAAACATGTAAACTGTGAATGTGGAAGATAAACATATTTGTATTGCAGGCAAGCAAACAATTGATTCCAAATGACAGTAGCAACATTGCCATGACATACACTGCTCTGGTGACCTTACTCATATTGGGAGATAGTCTTTCTCGAGTTCACAAGAAGGCTGTGATAGCTGGCATTCGAAGCCTGCAACAAAAAGATGGCAGGTTAGTGTAAACCCTACAGGTAACTGGCAACATTCATTTGTTTTCCATCCATTGTTTTTTTTTGTGTGTCCAGTCTTTCTGTTTTTTCACAACATGTATAATCCTTTTAAGTGCAATGCAGACCCAGTAAGAGTAACTAAACTTGGACCCAAAAAACTGTATTCTTATCAGAAATTCCTCTTATCCAGACTGTAATTTAAGGAAGAAAAATTTCCTGGGATAAACAAATTGCTCTTCACAACAGAAATTGCCACATTTGAGATCGTAGTAAGCAATCTGCAGACATATATAGATTTAATGTGGGTGGTTTATGTACAATTTTTGTAACCCATTTGAATTAAAATAGTGTTGATTTGAATTAAAATAGTGTTGACTAATATAAATTACACTAATAACCCGTTCGACTTACAAACTGTTTATCGGAATGGAACTTGGTTGTAAATCGAGGAGACCCTGTACCATATTAATTTCTTTGTTATGCTGTTTATTTGTTTAGCCCACTGACTACCAAGCCCTTTAACCCTTGCACTTTCCCAGATATCACTTATTTTAGTGTGTCCTAAACATGCTAAAGCTTTACGGCTGTTTCACATCAACTCATAATATTTCGGGTTTTTTTTTTGCACCAAATTGAATTGAGAGCACATTCAAAAAACAAAATCTGTGTAATATTGTTTAGCCTCATCATCATGTGACTGTAGACTGGTGCTAAAAAATAAAGCAACAGAAAAATCTGTTCTTCTGACAACAGTATATAGACTATAAAATTCCATAGCTTCGTAACTATTTAATGAAAACTCATAATATTTGGAATTTTTGCACCAAATTGAATAGGTAAAAAAATTCAAGAATATAGTGTCACGTAATCTTATTTTACATAATCATTGTGTGGTTGTAGATTGGTGCCAAAAAAGGCAACCAAAAAATCATCTGGCACTAGTATTTTTTTTTTTTAGCTAAAATGATCCTGGATGAAAGCTCTTTCTAATTGTAAAATAACATTCTGCAAATTCAGGGTTCGTTTACCATTTTGCACCAAGAACTTCTAATACAGTATGACTGAATTGTCAACCGCAAGAAGCCACAAAAACAATCTTTTCTCAAAACACGCATCAACGAGAATCACACCCAGGTAAATTCAAGGATTGCATTGTGAAACAATGTTCACTAAACGCTAAGCCACAGAGCCGTAATATACATAATCTACACTAACAGTTGCATCTAACAATACACACCTGAAGCGCATACATGAATTAGTTTACACAAACTAACGTAACATAACACCTGAAGCACATAAAGCAATCAATTTACACGAACTAACATAACAACACACCTGAAGCACATACGAATCAGTTTACACGAACTAACATAACACACCTGAAGCACATACTTGAATCAGTTTACACAAACTAACATAACACAACACACCTGAAGCACATACTTGAATCAGTTTACACGAACTAACATAACACACCTGAAGCACATACTTGAATCAGTTTACACGAACTAACATAACACAACACACCTGAAGCACATACATGAATCAGTTTACACGAACTAACATAACACACCTGAAGCACATACACGAATCAGTTTACACAAACTAACATAACATAACACACCTGAAGCACATACATGAATCAGTTTACACGTACTAACGTAACATAACACACCTGAAGCACATACACGAATCAGTTTACACGTACTAACGTAACATAACACACCTGAAGCACATACATGAATCAGTTTACACGAACTAACATAACATAACACACCTGAAGCACATACATGAATCAGTTTACACGTACTAACGTAACATAACACACCTGAAGCACATACATGAATCAGTTTACACGAACTAACATAACATAACACACCTGAAGCACATACATGAATCAGTTTACATGAACTAAAGTAACATAACACACCTGAAGCACATATATGAATCAGTTTACACAAACATAAAATAACACACCTGAAGCACATACATGAATCATTTTACACAAACTAACATAACATAACACAACTGAAGCACATTCATAAATCATTTTATAGGAATTAATGTAATATAACTCACCTGAAGCACATACATGAATCATTTTATAGGAACTAACGTTACATAACACACCTGAAGCACATACATGAATCAGTTTACACGTACTAACGTAACATAACACACCTGAAGCACATACATGAATCAGTTTACACGAACTAACATAACATAACACACCTGAAGCATATACATGAATCAGTTTACATGAACTAAAGTAACATAACACACCTGAAGCACATATATGAATCAGTTTACACAAACATAAAATAACACACCTGAAGCACATACATGAATCATTTTACACAAACTAACATAACATAACACAACTGAAGCATATACATGAATCATTTTATAGGAACTAACGTAATATAACACACCTGAAGCATATACATGAATCATTTTATAGGAACTAACCTAATATAACACATCTACCTCCAACAGTCACACCACTGCTGTAAGCAAAATGTCTTTTCAGTTTTGATGATGTTTTTGATGGCAGTTTATAAGAATTACCAAAGTCACAGTCATCGGACTGTTAAAAAATATCTTTTCCTTCTCTTTCCGATTTAAAACGATCAAGAAAATATCCCAGAATGTCATAAATGTTCCATAAATTGCTCCACTGTTGCAGTTCTAACGATCAGCCGCCATTATCAAAACATCTGCCTAACATGTCTTCGACATGCAAGCTCACCCAAAAAAAAATTTTAAAACATTTACTTTAAGTACTACTAGAGTTTTTTACCTTAAAGGGTGTGCAATCGTGGTAGCCAGGCATAACCATCAGCTGATTGTGTATTGTGCAGTTGTAGTTGTCAGTGGCTTAATGATTGCTGTCCGTGTCTGTCCAGTTTTGTTTATGATTTACTCTGTTCATATTCGACAATGGCTCCTCTCTATCCATGGTTTTATTTCTGTTTATGTTAAATGAATTCCCCTTTTCTGTGTCCACAGTTTTTTTTTCTTCAGTCGTTTATGTTTAATGAATTTCCCTTTTCTCTATCCACAGTTTTGTTTCTGTGTTAGAGGGAAGTGAGAATGACATGAGATTTGTTTACTGTGCGTGTTGCGTCTGCTTCATCTTAGATGACTGGAACGGGATGGATGTGGAGAAGACCATTTCATATATCGTCCAAAGTCTTGTAAGTACAGGCATCACATGATCAGTCATGAATTACTACTATATATTTAATGGATGCATCTTTCATTTAGTGTGTTGTAGGTGCATCTGTCTCACTTTCTTCTTCTTTTTCTTCTACTTCTTCACGTTCCCCAGCTATAAACTCCAGCAGAAAGTTCTGGTTGTTCGTTCCACTTTTGGACTGAAGTCTTATTCCAGAACCAGAGTTTTGAATGCACATCTTTTTGACAGATCTGGCTTATTTGTATACAGACTGTTGGTTTTCAAAGGAAACATCCCTGATTAGTTAACTCTTATGAGATGCTTGTCAAGGAGCATTGGGTCCCCCCCTCCCCCCCCCCCCCCCTTTTCCTATGGGGCCCAGGAACCCACATGGTGATGTCTCAGTTTAATTTTGATTGAGTGTTGGTGTCATTAGTTTTGTTGTGAGTAAATTTGTCATCTTTGATTGTCAGTGCATCCTTGTATGGGTTTTTGGGTACTTGTCACCTCTGCTATGGCACACAACCCTTGTGTGGTGCATTTTAACTCTGCTTTGGCACCAAATTCATGTGTGGGTTGTGTGGTATTGTGTTGCCTCTGCAATAAAACAAGACCCTTGTGTGGGTTGTGTGGTACCTGTCAACTCTGCTATGGCACCAAACCCTTGTGTGGGTTGTGTGGTACCTGTCAACTCTGCTATGGCACCAAACCCTTGTGTGAGTTGTGTGGTACCTGTCAACTCTGCTATGGCACCAAACCCTTGTGTGGGTTGTGTGGTACCTGTCAACTCTGCTATGGCACCAAACCCTTGTGTGGGTTGTATTCAAGATTATGTTTTCTGCCTCTTGTCTGCCTTGTTAGTAAGCATAGGCAATCATGGTTTACCATCTCACATGATCACCAGAAACAGTTATAAGCTCTGTGTTCTTGTCCCATCTGCAGGACTTTTTTTTTCTTTCTGGTGGAACATAACAGCACCTTTTCAGTGTTGGCATTATTTTTTTCAGCTCTATATCATAATAGACACTTTTGTGTTGAGTACCAGCACTTTTTTAAGACCCTTTGTGTTGAGTACCAGCACTTTTTGTAAGACACTTTGTGTTGAGTACCAGCACTTTTTGTAAGACACTTTGTGTTGAGTACCAGCACTTTTTGTAAGACACTTTGTGTTGAGTACCAGCACTTTTTTAAGACCCTTTGTGGTGGGTACTAGCAACTTTTTGTCTTAGTTTCAAGGTGTGTGCTCAGGTTTCATCAGCTGTAACAATATTAGCCAAACAGTTATCTCCGCTGTAACAATATTAGCCAAACAGTTATCTCCGCTGTAACAATATTAGCCAAACAGTTATCTCCGCTGTAACAATATTAGCCAAACAGTTATCTCCGCTGTAACAATATTAGCCAAACAGTTATCTCCGCTGTAACAATATTAGCCAAACAGTTATCTCCGCTGTAACAATATTAGCCAAACAGTTATCTCCGCTGTAACAATATTAGCCAAACAGTTATCTCCGCTGTAACAATATTAGCCAAACAGTTATCTCCGCTGTAACAATATTAGCCAAACAGTTATCTCCGCTGTAACAATATTAGCCAAACAGTTATCTCCGCTGTAACAATATTAGCCAAACAGTTATCTCCGCTGTAACAATATTAGCCAAACAGTTATCTCCGCTGTAACAATATTAGCCAAACAGTTATCTCCGCTGTAACAATATTAGCCAAACAGTTATCTCCGCTGTAACAATATTAGCCAAACAGTTATCTCCGCTGTAACAATATTAGCCAAACAGTTATCTCCGCTGTAACAATATTAGCCAAACAGTTATCTCCGCTGTAACAATATTAGCCAAACAGTTATCTCCGCTGTAACAATATTAGCCAAACAGTTATCTCCGCTGTAACAATATTAGCCAAACAGTTATCTCCGCTGTAACAATATTAGCCAAACAGTTATCTCCGCTGTAACAATATTAGCCAAACAGTTATCTCCGCTGTAACAATATTAGCCAAACAGTTATCTCCGCTGTAACAATATTAGCCAAACAGTTATCTCCGCTGTAACAATATTAGCCAAACAGTTATCTCCGCTGTAACAATATTAGCCAAACAGTTATCTCCGCTGTAACAATATTAGCCAAACAGTTATCTCCGCTGTAACAATATTAGCCAAACAGTTATCTCCGCTGTAACAATATTAGCCAAAAAGTTATCTCCATCAGCACTAAAACGCTCAAGTATCCAGTTCAGAAAAAATTGCTGCTCTTTGCATTCGATGGTCATCTGTGAGACTTTGATGATCTCATCTTGCACAAACTTAGAAAATCTGAAAGTTTTTATAATTGTATTTGCACTACCAATGCTGACTGACAGCTGTAAAGCCAGTTGTTGAATAGTAATGAGCCTATCGGTAAGAGTAATACTCTCAGTGCATTCTGACATTTCTGAGTTTGTGGCTGTAGCAAAATGTCTACAGTGGGGCCAATCAAGCAACTCCATATCTCGCCTTCCCAATTCTTCAATTTTTTTAACCCAGCGACTTATATACTCTTGTTGACTGCAGAACATCCATACACATCACATAAATGCTTGTGAATGTTCACAACAGTTTCTTTCTTTTGAACAACGAGAAATTATATCACAGTTCGCTGCTTATAAAGTAAATTGCTAACATGCTTCGTTTCAGCGGTTTAGGGCAGATGTTTTATGTGGCCGGTTGTGGTGCAATTTGGTACACACAATCTGCACATGCCTTATTTGAAGTGTGCAAAATTTCATGCTTCTGTCTTCATTATTGAGAAAACTAATGTGAGGCATCACATTTCCTAACACCTTATGTATTTATGTCTCTCGCTCTCTTTCTCTTTCTCTCTCTCTCTCTCTATATATATATATATCTATATATATGACATTGACATTCTTTGTTAATATTTTTGATCAGTGGATTTGTTTTTAAAATACATTTCTTTTTTTACAATTTTGTTCCCCAGTCATACGAGGGTGCATTCGGTCAGCGACCTTTTAACGAAGCTCATGGTAAGTACTACTAATTTATTAATCATTTCTGAGGACACGAAAAAGGGGAATTTTAAATTTGAAAGGGAATATCTTCTGAACCTCTGCTTGTAGGAACACTTAGTATATGAGGCTATAGACTGATGCTGCCTGGGGGGTGAGCAAGTGCCGGTGGCGCATCAGAAATATCATGCTAGACTCAAATTTGTATAAAACAAGTTTACACTTAAAGAGTAATGTGGGCAGCATCAAGCCGGCCATCTTGACTCCCAAGAACTTTGCCAGGGAGGCCAGGTAGTTTTGTTAAATGTCTTTGATTTAAAATGAAAAGCATCTGAACACAGGACCCCGGTTTTGCAGGCAGCTGTGATAGCCACTATGATAATGTGACATATTTTGTTGACAAAAACCAATGCTATAATTTTGTCATTTGTATTAAAATGTTTCTGTTGGCAAGATAACATCTAAAATATAACTGTCAAGCTCTATTACATGCTGAAGGTCGTGTCTGTAGGATTTACCTAATGCAGGATGGTAGAAGAGGAACGACCCAACACAAGAATGTAAGATATTCTTTACTACTCAAGGTAGAAGACAGAAGCATACATGGTAATGTAAAGTATATATACTTTGCCCAGTAGAAGAGAAAACACTATCCAAGGATGTAACTATATTTTCATCCCAGGTTAGAAGAGAAAACACTATCCAAGGATGTAACTATATTTTCATCCCAGGTTAGAAGAAAAAACACTATCCAAGGATGTAACTATATTTTCATCCCAGGTTAGAAGAGAAAACACTATCCAAGGATGTAACTATATTTTCATCCCAGGTTAGAAGAGTAAAGACTAAACAAAGATGTAAAATATATATTCTCCTCAGCGTAGAAGATGAAAGGCTAAATAAGGATGTACAGTATATATTTTCAAGAAAAGACTAAACATTATGTAAAGTATATATTCCCAGGGTATAAAGGAAATGACCAAAAGGCAACCCTAAGATATCTCTACCACCCAAATGCAATAGGGAAAGACTGAAAACAGAAATAAAATAATGAAACTAGATTTATACATATAACTGTGATTGACAGAATCATGTTGAGTCAGAACTAAATTTGATTTCTTCTTCTGTGTTTGGAGGTGTAAAGGTGGTATGCCTGTTTACTGCATGGCTGCAATATTTGTGCCATTCAGCCAACACTTCTGACTTCTGTAGGCATTTCTTGCTGTGGTTAGTTTAGCGGAACATTGCAATCGCATTATTGTGTGCTAATTCTTGATTCCTAGTTGACAGTTGAGGCCTCTCCTCAAGTCGGTTCAGAGCAGCCATGTAGGGCTGGTCAGTCCTCAGGAGAAGGCAGGGATAGAACACAACAATTCCACACCACCCAAAGAGGCTTCCATTTAAGCAGTCTAGACATGGTGCTCTGGTCCAGACTTACCCAAGGAATCGTCACGTCCTGCTCATGGCTGTTTGTCACTTCCATACATTGAGCCTCTCATTCATCATGGGCCAAGCCAGCAGGTGACAGCCTGCAGATCTGGGATTCAGACTTCCTAAGCAGAATAAGTTCTTTGCTGCTTGTGCATGTTAAAACTTTTATTGCAGTGGATTTTATTGTTGATATTGGCATCCTGGCAGGTGGGTCGACGTTCTGTGCGGTTGCTTCCTTGGTACTACTAGACAGGCTGCACAGTGCCCTGACAGAGAGACAGTTGAATCATCTCAAGCGATGGTTGCTGCGTAGACAAGAGTCTGGCTTCACAGGTCGCCCCAACAAACCAGCAGACACTTGCTATTCTTTTTGGGTTGGGGCAACTTTACAGGTAAGCTCATCTTTGCACAACTCAGTCCGTTGCTTTGGCTGCAGTAGATATCCAACACATCCTCCCATGCCCCCACCTTACAGTGATAGACATCCTCCCATGCCTCCACCTTACAGTGATAGACATCCTCCCCTACCTCCACCTTACAGTGATAGACATCCTCCCCTACCTCCACCTTACAGTGATAGACATCCTCCCATACCTTCACCCTACAGTGATAGACATCCTCCCATACCTCCACCTTACAGTGATAGACATCCTTCCATACCTCCACCTTACAGTGATAGACATCCTTCCATACCACAACCTTACAGTGATAGACATCCTTCCATACCTCCACCTTACAGTGATAGACATCCTTCCATACCACAACCTTACAGTGATAGACATCCTTCCATACCTCCACCTTACAGTGATAGACATCCTTCCATACCTCCACCTTACAGTGCTAGAGACATCCTCCCATACCTCCACCTTACAGTGATAGACATCCTTCCATGCCCCCACCTTACAGTGCTAGAGACATCCTCCCATACCCCCACCTTACAGTGATAGACATCCTCCCATACCCCCACCTTACAGTGATAGACATCCTCCCATACCCCCACCTTACAGTGATAGACATCCTCCCATACCCCCACCTTACAGTGATAGACATCCTCCCATGCCCCCACCTTACAGTGCTAGAGACATCCTCCCATACCCCCACCTTACAGTGCTAGAGACATCCTCCCATACCCCCACCTTACAGTGATAGACATCCTCCCATGCTCCCACCTTACAGTGATATACATCCTCCCATACCTCCACCTTACAGTGATAGACATCCTCCCCTACCTCCACCTTACAGTAATAGACATCCTCCCATACCTCCACCTTACAGTGACAGAGACATCCTCCCATGCCTCCACCTTACAATAATAGACATCCTCCCATACCTCCACCTTACAGTGATAGACATCCTCCCATACCTCCACCTTACAGTGATAGACATCCTCCCATACCTCCACCTTACAATGATAGACATCCTCCCATACCTCCACCTTACAGTGATAGACATCCTCCCATACCTCCACCTTACAGTGATAGACATCCTCCCATACCTCCACCTAACAGTAATAGACATCCTCCCATGCCTCCACCTTACAGTGATAGAGACATCCTCCCATACCTCCACCTTACAGTGATAGATATCCTCCCCTACCTCCACCTTACAGTGATAGACATCCTCCCCTGCCTCCACCTTACAGTGATAGTGACATCCTCCCATACCTCCACCTTACAGTGATAGAGACATCCTCCCATGCCTCCACCTTACAGTGATAGAGACATCCTCCCATACCTCCACCCTACAGTGATAGACATCCTCCCCTACCTCCACCCTACAGTGATAGACATCCTCCCATACCTCCACCTTACAGTAATAGACATCCTCCCATACCTCCACCTTACAGTGATAGACATCCTCCCATACCTCCACCTTACAATAATAGACATCCTCCCATACCTCCACCTTACAGTGATAGAGACATCCTCCCATAAATCCACCTTACAGTGATAGAGACATCCTCCCATGCCTCCACCTTACAGTGATAGAGACATCCTCCCATACCTCCACCCTACAGTGATAGACATCCTCCCATACCTCCACCTTACAGTGATAGACATCCTCCCATACCTCCACCTTACAGTGATAGACATCCTCCCATATCTCCACCTTACAGTGATAGACATCCTTCCATACCTCCACCTTACAGTGATAGACATCCTCCCCTACCTCCACCTTACAGTGATAGATATCCTCCCCTACCTCCACCTTACAGTGATAGAGACATCCTCCCATACCTCCACCTTACAGTGATAGACATCCTCCCATACCTCCACCTTACAGTGATAGACATCCTCCCATACCTCCACCTTACAGTGATAGACATCCTCCCCTACCTCCACCTTACAGTGATAGACATCCTCCCCATACCTCCACCTTACAGTGATAGACATCCTCCCCTACCTCCACCTTACAGTGATAGACATCCTCCCCTACCTCCACCTTACAGTGATAGACATCCTCCCCTACCTCCACCTTACAGTGATAGACATCCTCCCCTACCTCCACCTTACAGTGATAGACATCCTCCCCTACCTCCACCTTACAGTGATAGACATCCTCCCCTACCTCCACCTTACAGTGATAGACATCCTCCCATACCTCCACCTTACAGTGATAGACATCCTTCCATACCTCCACCTTACAGTGATAGACATCCTCCCCTACCTCCACCTTACAGTGATAGACATCCTCCCATACCTCCACCTTACAGTAATAGACATCCTCCCATACCTCCACCTTACAGTGATAGACATCCTCCCCTACCCCCACCTTACAGTGATAGACATCCTCCCATACCCCCACCTTACAGTGATAGACATCCTCCCATACCCCCACCTTACAGTGATAGACATCCTCCCATACCCCCACCTTACAGTGATAGACATCCTCCCATGCCCCCACCTTACAGTGCTAGAGACATCCTCCCATACCCCCACCTTACAGTGCTAGAGACATCCTCCCATACCCCCACCTTACAGTGATAGACATCCTCCCATGCTCCCACCTTACAGTGATATACATCCTCCCATACCTCCACCTTACAGTGATAGACATCCTCCCCTACCTCCACCTTACAGTAATAGACATCCTCCCATACCTCCACCTTACAGTGACAGAGACATCCTCCCATGCCTCCACCTTACAATAATAGACATCCTCCCATACCTCCACCTTACAGTGATAGACATCCTCCCATACCTCCACCTTACAGTGATAGACATCCTCCCATACCTCCACCTTACAATGATAGACATCCTCCCATACCTCCACCTTACAGTGATAGACATCCTCCCATACCTCCACCTTACAGTGATAGACATCCTCCCATACCTCCACCTTACAGTAATAGACATCCTCCCATGCCTCCACCTTACAGTGATAGAGACATCCTCCCATACCTCCACCTTACAGTGATAGATATCCTCCCCTACCTCCACCTTACAGTGATAGACATCCTCCCCTGCCTCCACCTTACAGTGATAGTGACATCCTCCCATACCTCCACCTTACAGTGATAGAGACATCCTCCCATGCCTCCACCTTACAGTGATAGAGACATCCTCCCATACCTCCACCCTACAGTGATAGACATCCTCCCCTACCTCCACCCTACAGTGATAGACATCCTCCCATACCTCCACCTTACAGTAATAGACATCCTCCCATACCTCCACCTTACAGTGATAGACATCCTCCCATACCTCCACCTTACAATAATAGACATCCTCCCATACCTCCACCTTACAGTGATAGAGACATCCTCCCATAAATCCACCTTACAGTGATAGAGACATCCTCCCATGCCTCCACCTTACAGTGATAGAGACATCCTCCCATACCTCCACCCTACAGTGATAGACATCCTCCCATACCTCCACCTTACAGTGATAGACATCCTCCCATACCTCCACCTTACAGTGATAGACATCCTCCCATATCTCCACCTTACAGTGATAGACATCCTTCCATACCTCCACCTTACAGTGATAGACATCCTCCCCTACCTCCACCTTACAGTGATAGATATCCTCCCCTACCTCCACCTTACAGTGATAGAGACATCCTCCCATACCTCCACCTTACAGTGATAGACATCCTCCCATACCTCCACCTTACAGTGATAGACATCCTCCCATACCTCCACCTTACAGTGATAGACATCCTCCCCTACCTCCACCTTACAGTGATAGACATCCTCCCATACCTCCACCTTACAGTGATAGACATCCTCCCCTACCTCCACCTTACAGTGATAGACATCCTCCCCTACCTCCACCTTACAGTGATAGACATCCTCCCCTACCTCCACCTTACAGTGATAGACATCCTCCCCTACCTCCACCTTACAGTGATAGACATCCTCCCCTACCTCCACCTTACAGTGATAGACATCCTCCCCTACCTCCACCTTACAGTGATAGACATCCTCCCATACCTCCACCTTACAGTGATAGACATCCTTCCATACCTCCACCTTACAGTGATAGACATCCTCCCCTACCTCCACCTTACAGTGATAGACATCCTCCCATACCTCCACCTTACAGTAATAGACATCCTCCCATACCTCCACCTTACAGTGATAGACATCCTCCCCTACCTCCACCTTACAGTGATAGACATCCTCCCATACCTCCACCTTACAGTGATAGACATCCTCCCCTACCTCCACCTTACAGTGATAGACATCCTCCCCTACCTCCACCTTACAGTGATAGACATCCTCCCCTACCTCCACCTTACAGTGATAGACATCCTCCCCTACCTCCACCTTACAGTGATAGACATCCTCCCCTACCTCCACCTTACAGTGATAGACATCCTCCCCTACCTCCACCTTACAGTGATAGACATCCTCCCCTACCTCCACCTTACAGTGATAGAGACATCCTCCCCTACCTACACCTTACAGTAATAGACATCCTCCCATACCTACACCTTACAGTGATAGACATCCTCCCATACCTCCACCTTACAGTGATAGACATCCTCCCCTACCTCCACCTTACAGTGATAGAGACATCCTCCCATACCTCCACCTTACAGTGATAGACATCCTCCCCTACCTCCACCTTACAGTGATAGACATCCTCCCATACCTCCACCTTACAGTGATAGACATCCTCCCCTACCTCCACCTTACAGTGATAGACATCCTCCCATACCTCCACCTTACAGTGATAGACATCCTCCCCATACCTCCACCTTACAGTGATAGACATCCTCCCCTACCTCACCTTACAGTGATAGACATCCTCCCCTACCTCCACCTTACAGTGATAGACATCCTCCCATACCTCCACCTTACAGTGATAGACATCCTCCCATACCTCCACCTTACAGTGATAGACATCCTCCCCATACCTCCACCTTACAGTGATAGACATCCTCCCTACCTCCACCTTACAGTGATAGACATCCTCCCATACCTCCACCTTACAGTGATAGACATCCTCCCTACCTCCACCTTACAGTGATAGACATCCTCCCATACCTCCACCTTACAGTGATAGACATCATCTCCATACCTCCACCTTACAGTGATAGACATCCTCCCATACCTCCACCTTACAGTGATAGACATCCTCCCCTACCTCCACCTTACAGTGATAGACACATCCCATACTCTCACCTTACAGTGATAGACATCCCTCCATACCTCCACCTTACAGTGATAGACATCCTCCCCTACCTCCACCTTACAGTGATAGATATCCTCCCCTACCTCCACCTTACAGTGATAGAGACATCCTCCCATACCTCCACCTTACAGTGATAGACATCCTCCCATACCTCCACCTTACAGTGATAGACATCCTCCCATACCTCCACCTTACAGTGATAGACATCCTCCCCTACCCTCCACCTTACAGTGATAGACATTCCTCCCATACCTCCACCTTACAGTGATAGACATCCTACCCTACACTCCACCTTACAGTGATAGACATCCTCCCCTACCTCCACCTTACAGTGATAGACATCCTCCCCTACCTCCACCTACAGTGATAGACATCCTCCCCTACCTCCACCTTACAGTGATAGACATCCTCCCCTACCTCCACCTTACAGTGATAGACATCCTCCCCTACCTCCACCTTACAGTGATAGACATCCTCCCATACCTCCACCTTACAGTGATAGACATCCTTCCATACCCGCACCTTACAGTGATAGACATCCTCCCCTACCTCCACCTTACAGTGATAGACATCCTCCCATACCTCCACCTTACAGTGATAGACAACCTCCCCTACCTCCACCTTACAGTGATAGACATCCTCCCCTACCTCCACCTTACAGTGATAGACATCCTCCCCTACCTCCACCTTACAGTGATAGACATCCTCCCCTACCTCCACCTTACAGTGATAGACACATACCTCCCACAGTACCTCCACCTTACAGTGATAGACATCCTCCCCTACCTCCACCTTACAGTGATAGACATCCTCCCATACCTCCACCTTACAGTGATAGACATCCTCCCCTACCTCCACCTTACAGTGATAGACATCCTCCCATACCTCCACCTTACAGTGATAGACATCCTCCCCTACCTCCACCTTACAGTGATAGACATCCTCCCCTACCTCCAACTTACAGTGATAGACATCCTCCCCTACCTCCACCTTACAGTGATAGACATCCTCCCCTACCTCCGCCTTACAGTGATAGACATCCTTCCATACCTCCACCTTACAGTGATAGACATCCTCCCCTACCTCCGCCTTACAGTGATAGACATCCTCTTACATATAGTAAAATAGCTTCTTTTTTTTCAAATCATTGTAGTAAAGTGTATGTTAGCTTTACAGAACTAGTTGCAGTAAAAAAAAAATGGCATTGTCAAGTACCTTTCCAGCCGGCATAGGTGTTTATGCATCTCCACATATCAGTCTTTGGTGCTCTGGATCAATTCCACTGATCATATTCCTCCATGCCACTGTCTTAAGTCATCTACCATCATTTCTCTTGGTCTGCCTCTGCCTCTTCTACCAGTGACCTTTCCAATTGTCACGATATTTTCTAGTGTTCCTTTTCTCATCACATGACCAAAGAACTTTGTCTCCTTTTCATTGTTGTAAATAATATTCTACTTTCATTAGCCATTTCCTGGCAATCATTGTTAATTATTCTGGCAGTTCAGTGTATTTTCAATATTCTTCTCAAGGCTCACATCCCAAGATTCACTGCCATACAACAGGACAGGCTTGATGTAACATTTCAGTACTGATGTATAATAAGAGTGATTTATTATGTAAGATACTCTTCATCTTCTGAAGTTCCGCCTTTGTCTGGCCAGTTCTACTGTAAATTTATGTCACACATTGTCCATCTGATGTTATGAATGTCCCCAAATAATTGAATTTATTGACTTGGTTAAGCACTTGCCCTTCTATTTCTGTGTCACATTATAGAGTTATCTTCTTTGATAAAACCATTGTTCCTGTTTTCTTGACATTCAAGAGAAGTCCCTTTTTTTTACACTCTCTAGTACCACAGTTTCAAACAGTTTTTTAAGCCTTCTGCATTTTCATCTATTTATTCTGTGCCATTAATTATTTCCATCACCAAATCTAAAACCAGCCGAGGCCAAGACTGCAACTTCACATCAGTGAGAAATATCAAGCCATGTTCATTGCAGCAGTAATTGACTTGCTGGAAACCAAGGCTTCTGGGAAATGTTTTTTTTTAAACAGATTTCTGTTGTATGATTGTTAGCAGACTCCAGCCTAGTGTCCATGGAAAGAGCTTTTTTGACATTAAGTTTTAGAAAACATGTTACTCCTGACTGCTGCTCTCCTGTTCTGAGATGTAAAAACATACTGAAAGCTGTCCAACATGCTCACTCAACAGCTCTCTGTATGGTTGGTTTCAGGAGCTGTCTTCAGCCTCAACAACTGTCCAGTATTGTCTTCACAGCCTCAGTGACTGTCCTGTATTGTTCACTGACAATTCTTAGTTCAGCTCTAGTAGTCAGGACCTCATTGATTAGTCAATGACTGTCCTGTATTGTTCACTGACAATTCTTAGTTCAGCTCTAGTATCCATCACCTCATTGATTACTCAGTGTTTTGCCAGCAGAATCATTTTGGAGGTCTGCATTCTGTAATGGGTTCTTGATGCCGTCATCTTCTCCAGATCTGCAACTATTACAAAACCATCTTAGTTTAGACTGAGTACTTTGGCATATATGATTTGTCTGCTTCATTTTGTGTTTTGAAACAGTGTTTGCTGTCTGTGGTATTGGAAGACACAAAAAAAGGAGGGAGTGGGGGGGGGGGGGGGGGGGGTGTCATGACCCTAAGGATTTAGGGCTGTCTGGCTGGTGCAGTTGCCACAGACTGCTGGAGGTTAGGATCTTTGTTTTTACCCCTCACAGAAACAGAATTATTCTCTAAGTATTCGGCCAGCCACTTTTCAAACCTTTCTAAGTATCTCATTATTGAGAAACAGTCATAACCCATGACACACTACTCATATTATAAATATTATAAGTGCAACTTTGCAGATGCTCTTCAGATCTCTTTGATTTACCTCATTATTGATAAAATGGCATCCCCCATGTTAAAGTTAGTTGTGTATCCTTTACAGGGCATTGCAGAACCAATCCTAGCGTTTTTTGACTTGTGGTTTTTCCAGGCAAATTTTATGTTTAATAGTTTGCCATTGCTTGTGAATGAATGGTCAGCTCTTGGTACCACTGTCAAAACCAATGCAAGATAAGTCATCTGCAGCTGGGATCAAACCCGCAACACCTAAGCCACAGACCAATACCCATGACACACTACTCATGTTATAAATATTGCCATATAGCTGTTACTCTGTAGCTACTGCAACATTTTGTTCAATTCTGTACAGTATCTTGTTTCTGTTGTTTTTCAGATGTTGGGCATCCTTGATTTGTCAAATGTGACTTTTAACCGTTCCTTTGTGTTGAGTACCCAGTCTCCAATCACAGGTGGCTTCTCCAAGTACCCAGACCATATACCTGGTAAGTTTATCGTTACTCTTGACTTTATACCTTGTAAGTTTATTGTTACTGTTGACGGTATACCTGGTAAGTTTGTTGTTACTGTTGACGGTATACCTGGTAAGTTTGTCATTACTGTTGACCGTATACCTGGTAAGTTTATCGTTACTGTTGACGGTATACCTGGTAAGTTTATTGTTACTGTTGACGGTATACCTGGTAAGTTTGTCATTACTGTTGACCGTATACCTGGTAAGTTTATCGTTACTGTTGACGGTATACCTGGTAAGTTTATCGTTACTGTTGACGGTATACCTGGTAAGTTTGTCGTCACTGTTGACCGTATACCTGGTAAGTTTGTCGTTACTGTTGACCATCTGTTCAGTTGTGACGTTGTCCAGTGCTGGGGTCTTATAATTCTGTACTTTCCTCTTTCGTGCAGAGTGGTAAGCAGTAATCACTTCAGAGGTTCCTGTAAGTTGGCGTTGTTTGGATATTTTCTCATGGTTTTGCTGGTGTGTGGGGCAATGAGCAGGCAGATACAATCGCTGGTTCTGCACCACTTGGTGTGAATTGATCCATGAGAAGCTAGATGTTGTAATGATCCTGTGAGAGCAAATGAACAATGCAGAGGTGTACATTTATCATCAATGTCTGAGGAGAGTAGTGCTGCAAGAGCCAAGAGTTACCAGTTGATGTGGCCCATGTTCAACACTCAGGGGAAAGGCAAGACAGAAATACAATCAGACTTACTGGTGCCATCGGAATTGGAACTCTGTGCTTGTTGCTGAAGATGGGAACGGAGCACTTATGTGAATCTCCCAAGTCCTGTGATGTTGATTCTTAATTTAACATTTGTACTTCCATCTTCAAAATATGGAAATATTTTTTACTCGGTTATCCATATGGATCATTGCAAAGATCTTTCTCATAATCCATCTAAAATCATTGGTGATCCTTCACTGTTTATTGGGTATAAATCCTGTTTCTCACATGGATCTTTGTAAAATCCTTAGACAGACTCTGACCATGTCCTTATCACCTCATGCTTGACCATCATACTTTTTTTTCTTAAACGGTTTTTAAGCAATATGGTGCAAACCTGTTAAGGATAACTTGCCAGGGGCCAAGAAATAATTCTTCTTATCAGAAATTCCTCTTATTCTGATAGGAATTCAAGCAAGAAAAGTTGCTGAGAATAAACTGTTTTTCACAACAGTAATTTTTCACATCCGAGATCACTTTAAGCAGTCTGCATTGTAGCAATATGGAATTGGTATAATACCAGCATGTTTACCCAAAAATAAGAGAAGGTCTTATATTACTTTTGTTCCAGGGGCTTTTTAAGGGGATGTCTTAAGTTTTTCATGTACAAAAATCTACATTTATTGAAGTAAAAAATCAACATTTATTTAAATATTTATACATTCAGGAATTTATAATTCAGTACATTTGTCTTGTGTTTTGTCGGACAAATAACATCCAACCATCTGATGATCACAACTAGGGCTTATATCTGAGGTAGCGCTTATATTACGAGCTTCTTTAAAATTCATGCTGGGGCTAAGTTTTGGGTTAGGTTATATGTTGGAGAAACGTAGTACTTAAGCCAGATTTTTGTGGGATCTCTTTGTTGATTCAGATAGTACGCTGTCATTGAGAATCATCTTTCATGAATGACCTCTTGTTGTTCTTTCATTGATACTTATGAAGTACTCAGTTTCTTCTTTCCCTTGTTGGTTCCGGGGCCCATTGAAGGGAGGGGGGTAGGGGGGTAGACCCACTGCCTTCCTATTGGGCATGTCGCAAAAAGTGACTAATTCTGGATTTTTCGTCTTAAGTCAAGGAACATATTCCTGAGGGTTGCGGAACCGTGACTTAAGTCCAGAAGTGGACAAACAACCAAATTTTCCACTAAAGTTTACAGCCATTGAATGCCAAGAACAGTGACCTTATGTTAATTTGTCATTGATGTAGCAAGTACTCAAGGTCCTTCTAATTCAACTCACATGATGTCAATACCCTAAACTGCGTGCACTTTGTTAGCCCTGTCTCAGTCAGACATCATCATCCGTCAGGGGAAGATAAACATAGATCATGTAGCTGACTTCACGCCGCACATTGTGATTGCATGATATGCTGTCCACAGATCCGCTGCACACGTACCTAGGGCTTGGCGGGCTGGCTCTGATAGGAGAACCCGGTTTGGGTCCCATTTTTCCTGCCTTGAACATGTCACAGAGAGCATACGACCATTTGGCCAACCTTCATCAGCAGTGGAAAGAAGGGCCTGATCATTGATGTTATTTCCAAGTGCTCACTCTTGCTCATGTATTTGTAATCTTAATATATAACTATATCAATTGTTATGTGTTTATATGGCTGTTTGTACTTCAAAGGCATTGCCATAGTTTGTAGTGTTCTGAGAACGGTACGTTTGTTTGTACAAATAACTCTGACTTGTGCTTGCAAGGTATAAGAAAGTAGCTGCCATGGCAGGACTGAGAAATACATGATTGGTTTGGAAACTACATCTGTTTTCAGAGACTGATAAACAAAAAGAATGAGTGAAAAGACATAAAATGCAAACATGCAGCTCGAAAAAAGAAACAAAAATATATGGAAAGAAAGACACATGGTCAACAAGCAAACAGTTCAACCAGTCTTTTTATGAACGAAGATTACACAGACAAATAGTCCGTGTGAGCAGCTCTTTTCTTTTTCTCCAGCATCCTAACTGAATTATGATTTCAGTCATGCTTCAATGGCAGTCACTGTCTATTCCAGAGCAGTTTTAATCAAGATGCAGGAAGTAATCACTTCATGATTTTGTATTTATTTCATACACAAAGTAAATACTTGTATGAGGGCTATTTTACAATCAATCTCCCACTGACTAGTTAAAAATAAATGCAGCCAGAGACAAATGTTGTTACATTCTTCATGCTTTAACAAAGCAGTTGTCACATTATAGTTTGCAGCTAGGCTGTGATATCTATGCCTTATGGTACAAGGTAACTGTGAGACTTGTGTCATGCAAGCTCAGAACACTTTGAAATTCCTTTTCCAGGAATGTTACTGCTGAGAAATGTGCCTTCTTATTTTGTCTGTAGCACAGAGGACTAGAAGTCATGCTAAGTCCACTCTGGGTGTTGTGAATGTCAGTCAGATGTTGTGTTACCCACAGTGTCCAGAACTTAGGGTATTTTGTCTCTCTGTTACAGTTTGAAATAGACCGGTTCCCTGACCTGAAGACATTGAGGAGAGATAGAGATATGAAGTCGAGGAATAACACTTTTCAGCTAATGATTTTAGTTGTAACTACCCAATCAGAACTTGATTTTAGAATAGCCCTCATGTGGAAATGTCACAATAAATTTAACATAGTTGACGAGGGGTAAATCTGACCATGGATTGATGTGTCTAGATAACAGAGTGTATCTGATCATGGATGGATATTTCCAGAGAGGTGGGTATATCTGACCATGGATAGAGGTTATAGAGAACTGGGTGTATCTGATCATGGATGGAAGTTATAGAGAACTGGGTGGATCTGATCATGGGTGGATATGTCCAGAGAACTGGGTATTTCTGACCATGGGTGGATGTCTCCAGAGAGCTGAGTATATCTGACCATGGATGGATGTCTCCAGAGAGCTGGGTATATCTGAGCATGGATGGATGTGTCTAGAGAGCTAGGTATATCTAACCATGGATGGATGTGTCTAGAGAGCTAGGTATATCTAACCATGGGTAGATGTGTCTAGAGAGCTGGGTTTACCATGGATGGATGTCTAGAGATCTGGGTATATCTGATCATGGATGGAGGTTATAGAGAACTGGGTATATCTTACCATGGATGGATGTCTCCAGAGAGCTGGGTATATCTGACCATGGATGGATGTCTTCAGAGAGCTGAGTATATCTGACCATGGATGGATGTCTCCAGAGACCTGGGTATATCTGATCATGGGTGGATGTGTCTAGAGATCTGGGTATATCTGATCATGGACGGTACGGAGGTTATAGAGAACTGGGTATATCTTACCATGGATGGATGTGTCCAGAGAGCTGGGTATATCTGACCATGGATGGAAGTTATAGAGAACTGGGTGTATCTGTTCATGGGTGGATATGTCCAGAGAACTTGGTATATCTGACCATGGATGGAAGTTATAGAGAACTGGGTGTATCTGTTCATGGGTGGATATGTCCAGAGAACTTGGTATATCTGATCATGTGTGAATGTGTCCAGAGAGCTTGGTATTTCTGACCATCAGTGGAGGTGTCTAGAGAATTGAGTATATCTGACCATGAGTGAATTAACTCAGAGAGTTGGGTAAATCTGATCATGGTTTGATTTACCCAGAGAGTTGTGTATTTCTGATCATGGGTTGATGAAACATGATATTGCAAGTCCTGATTGTTCTTTCAATGTGCTCTATCCTCCACCTGTAGAATGTATTTATGGTCAGTAGTTTCATCTTCCCATGTGTTCCTATCTTCCACCTGTAACAGGTATCTTGTGGCGTCTGCCTCCCATGTTTCTCTATCCTTCGCCTGTAATAGTTATCCAAGCGGTCAGTAGCTTCTGCCTTCCATGTTTTTCTGCCCTCTGCATGTAATAGGTGTCCAAAAGGTCAGTAGCTTTTTTCCTCCTATGCTGTTTGTCTCGTCCAGAATGCTCATGTATAGTTAACCCAGGTCCATAAAGTGTAGTTGGTGATACTGTTTCCTTCCATCGAGCACTTGCCACACAACATATTCTGTGATAAACATCAGGTGGACAGCCTGTCGGTATTGTGTCTCAGTACATGTTTTAGATTTGCTTTCCCTAGCCATTGACTGTCCCCAGTCTACAAGGCAGCAGGTTTAGGTTTGGGTCTGGTTTTGTCTGCCCCCTTTGACTGTTCCCAGTCTACAAGGCAGCAGGTTTCGGTCTCATTTTGTCTGCTTCTTTTGACTGTTCCCAGTCTACAAGGCAGCAGGTTTGGGTTTGCTCCCTTTGACTGTTCCCAGTCTACAAGGCAGCAGGTTTGGGTTTGCTCCCTTTGACTGTTCCCAGTCTACAAGACAGCAGGTTTGGGTCTCATTTTGTCTGCTCCATTTCCTTTGACATGAAGTGAAAGTTAAATGCATTAAAAAAATTCTGAGGAAGATTTTGAACATAATATGGGATGAATTTAAAAGGAGTGAAGAAAAAAGGGAAAGCTCTAGGCAACAACTGGTCAAACAATTATGAGAAAAATAACTTGGCACCATAATGGATGTGTCCTGATGATAACCAGGCAGGCACTAAAATAGAAAGTACAAAGACTGGGGAAGTGAGGACATCAAAAAGAAACCCTGAAGTGAACGTTGATAAAAAAAAGCAAAAAGTGCTGGACTGGATTACATCCATGATATTGACAGGATAGAACAGAACGGAGGAATAGACCTCAAGCCCTGTCTGACATATAATGGGACATCAGGACAATGATGCTGACCCCTTGGCCAGTCCGATATATGAGAGACTACCAGGAGCTACACTACCGTCGGCATGACTACCAGGAGCTACACTACCGTCGGCATGACTACCAGGAGCTACACTACCATCGGCATGACTACCAGGAGATACACTACCTTCGGCATGACTACCAGGAGATACACTACCGTCGGCATGACTACCAGGAGATACACTACCGTCGGCATGACTACCAGGAGATACACTACCGTCGGCATAGCTTTTGGTATTATTGAAACACACAAGCTTCTCTATCACAACTGGAGGGCGATAACCTGCTGCCATGGATAGAAGGTAGGTATTATCAGTGACAGTTGTTTCCTGGCTACACCATAGACTGTCCACCTCTGACTAGTGTCCGATCGTTGCTACTGTACTGATGACACATAATAAGTGAAATGTCAGACATGACAAAAGAAGCCAAGAAACAAAAGACATACACCAAACAGATCAGTTTGACCAGTTTTTGTCCCTGTGAAAACACTGAGTTATCGATTTCTTGAACAGATCTTGCATATCTTTGCTTTCCCAGGTACTTTATAAAATTTTACACCATTTGTTTTTACTGATACCTTCTGGATAATGGTCACCTAGACTGTTGTTATCCTACAAACATAATTGTCCAACCTGATGTGTTTGATTGTTATACTCACTTGTCAGGTCTGTAGAAGAGCTATCTTTTGTTTAATTCCCATTGGACCAGTAAAAATGGGTTCTATCCCAATACCAGGTGCTTAAATATTTACCATCTTGCTCTGTGAAGACTAAAAAATGGGTCATGACCCTGTTGGAATACCAGAAAAAATCCTTTAAAACACAAAAAACTTCACAGATCAGTAATAAATTGGTTTACAATATATTTATCTACATTTTTGTACTTTGTTTTCCTGAAATATTTCAAGTTATGGAGCGAGCAATCAATAAACATGAACGGGGGGGGGGGGGGGGGGGCATTCAATAGAATTTATTCCCTGGGCCTTACACAGAAAACATGACTGGGGTGACTCCTGCCATGACCTCTATCACTGAGGTTTACGGGAAAATCTGATGTCAACTTGGTCTCAAAGAGGTCATTTGGCTCAGAGGGACCCCCACCCCAGTGCTATTTTTAGTGAATGTGTTCATATCCTGGCAAACTACTGGACGTAAATTTGCCTAGAAAAACCGCACAACAGCCCGGAGCTGTTAAGAGTTGTTTCTGCAACGTCCTGTAAGGGACACGCAACTAACCTATTCATATCCTGACCCCCTAAACATTTGGGCATTGCAAAAACAGCCAGTAGCGTTAACTATACATTTTGTAAACAGTATAGACAAGTTTGAAAAATGACATTTATGGGAAGTTTGGCCCACCAGAAGTGTCAGTTTTGCAGCTTCTCAAGACAAAACGGTTAAAAGCAGATAAACTTGCTCCCCTCCCCCATTTTCCAAAGAAGAATGTGAACTAAGCATTAAGAAAGTCAGACTTTGTGAAAAACAAAACTATCCAGGCTGTCAAAGAAGTACTGAACTAAGTCACTGATGATCGTCAAACTCCAGACTGGTAGCTTCAGCTTTGTGCTTATGTGGCTGGCCAAGTCAACAAACTGCTTTCATCCACCTGCAAGCTGACAGAAAATTTTAGCTGCAACTGTTTGAACAGCCCCTCCTCCACTTGCAGGCTGTCACTGAACTCAGCTAGGAGTATTTGAACAGCCCCTCCTCCACTTGCAGGCTGTCACTGAACTCAGCTAGGAGTATTTGAACAGCCCCTCCTCCACTTACAGGCTGTCACTGAACTCAGCTAGGAGTATTTGAA